TCAACAATATAAACATCGAGTTTTCAATAATTTCTTCTGGCTCTCCAAGTCTGAGGGGACACACTTAGGAAGGCATCTTAGACAAACAGGTCTAGACAAATAATATTTGGGGGAGAATAAATAAATATATATATATATATACACCCCCCAGGGCAGATGGCCACGCCGCAATCCCTTCTCCTCCATTCTCCTCTCAGGATCTTGGGCATGCACACAAGCGTGCTGGGTGTGAGTTTAAGCCACCGGGTCCGGGACTTGAACCGCAGTTGACTACATGGGAGTCCAGTGACATAGCCTTTACGCCATCTGCTGGTCCCATGGATACATACGATTTAGAGTTCTCTCTATAGTCATGGAGATTTAACAATGAATGAACAACACTCTCAGGCAAAAGGAATGTAATGCAAATGTTAAATGTTCTGAAAACTAGGGGCCCAGCAGGGAGCACAGTGGTTAAGGCACTGAATTCCATACGGCAGACCGCAGTTTGAGTCCAGGACCTGGAGGCTTGAAAATCATGCTGGACATGTGTGCATGCCTGCCCAGAATTCCAGGAAGGGAATGGAGGAGGGATGGGGGTGTGGCCATGCGCCCTAAAGGGTGATGTCTCACTTCTCCTCTCACTGTCTCTCTCATCTGTGTCACAAAAACCTTAAAAATTTAAAAAAAAAAAAAAGCTAATTCAAGACGCTCACAAAAATCAAAATAAGTATTGTACTGCAGTTAATATTATTCTCATGATTATGACTTAAAATACAAGGGGACTTCAGAGAGTTTGTGGGAAAATGGAATTAAAGTACAAGTTCAGTTTGGTACAAAAATTTTTTGAAATCCACACATAGTTCTTTCATAATATGCCGTTTCCGGGAACTTTGGAAGCCCTTTCACCTCTCTATTGACTCCCAGAAGTCTAATTATAACAATGTTACATTATAAAAGGCCAATTACTTCCAAATTTTTTTTAAAGAGAGAGTTTTGCTATAGGACGCATGTATTCACCTGGGAGACAGACAGAGACAGAGACAGAAAGTGAGAAATCACCAAGCAGGGGGAATGGCCATGCCACAATTTCTCCTCCTCCACTCTTCTGAGATCTTGAATATCCACGCACATGCACCCAGTGGGAGTTTTAAGCAACCAGGTTCAGGACTTGAACCCTGGTCGACTACATGGGAGTCCAGCAACGTAACCATTATGCCATCTGCTGGTCCCACTTCTAATTCTTTTTAGAGAGAGAGATTTTTGCTATCGGTCACATGTGCTCATTAGAGAGACAGAGAAAAATAGAGAGACGGAAAGCGAGAAGTAACCCCCTGGGGGGGATGGCCATGCTGCAATCCCTTCTCCTCCATTCTCCTTTCGGGATTCTGGACATGCACACACATACGCCTGGCGTGAGTTTAAGCCACCGGGTCTGGGATTCGACCTACGGTAGGCCATGTGGGAGTTCAACAATGTAACCATAACCAGTACGCCATCTGCTGGTCCCTTGAAAGTTGTAATTCTCTTTTTGTACCTATGCGGACAGTTCCCTTGGCCCACTTCTGTGAGGTGAGAGTGACGAGATGGCTAACCCTGACCACACAGCTTAGGTCCCCATCCCTGACCAGCTACTCTTTCCGACCGTCCTATTCGATTTCCCACCGCTACCCTATCTCCATTTTGCAAAAGCCTCCTGCAGACCACTGCTTCCCTCTCACTTCTTATCCTTTTCCATTTCCGTCGCAGCAGCATGGCTGACATGCTGAGGGTAGCCTTCTTTTACAGGATGGTTCAACCCTCAGGAGGAGGCCAAAGCAGAGTGGACGGAGTAGCTAAAAGAATAAGCAATGGAGGGGCCAGCGAAGTGATGCAGCGGAGATGCAACCTCCACGATGCGGGACCCACAGGGGAATGTCTGGGGTTGGCATCCTGAGGTCTCCTTATGTGCTCCTGGCTCACCACATGTGCCTACGACCTGGGCCAGCTGACGCTGGGGGTGGATCATGGCATAAAAACCCTGTTGGGAATGTCTATCTCTGTCTCTCTGTGTGTGTCTCTCCCATGGGAGAAATAAATGGATAAGGTTAAAAAAAAAAAGAAGAAAATAAACAATGGGAGCCCCAGCCACAGTTGAGCACGCTTCTAAAAATGCTGTGCTCTGCAGGCTGGGACCATATGGTAGGCCCAGGTTCTATTCCTGGTCCAACCTGAAGTCCAGGCTGGTGGCCTGAGTCTGTGATCCGAGCAACGCAGGATGCTGAGGCAGACGGCGTGCAACTCTGCAACTTTGTGGCTGGCCTGGGCAACACAGTGAGACCTGAGAAATAACAAGGTGTGGTGGTGATCCCCTGTGTTCCATCTGGGAGGCTGAGGGAGGACTGTGACATGGCAAGAGACTGTCTTCAAAAACAGGGGGGAGAGGGAAGGCCAGCAGGTGCTTATGGCGCTGGACTCCCACATGGCTGACTGCAGTTTGAGTCCGGGCCTGGCGGCTTGAATCTCATGCAGGGCTAGTGTGTGTTCATGCCCAAAATCTCAGGAGGAGGAAGGAGAGGGGCTGTGGCATGGCCATTCCCCCTGGGAAGTGATTTCTCACTTTCCCTCTCACTGTCTCTGCCTTCCTGGTGAGCACACACGCCCTATGGCAAAACCTTAATAAAAAATAAAAAAAAAAATAAAAAGAGAGAAAAGAACAATAAACAACGGGTCAGGAGAAAGTTCGCACTTCCGGAGCCTCTATGATCAGTCATTAACATGACTGATTTTTTTCTTCCTCTCTTTAAACACAAAATGAAAAAAGCAATCTCAAAGACACAAAGATGCAAGATACTTACTATCCCTGAGTACCAGATTCTGATTTTAAGACATCTGGTTGCTAACACTGCAAGGAGAACCCAGCCCTGCTTCTTCTTCTTCTTTTTTTTCTTTCAAAGTTCATGAATCCATTTCTTCCAAGAGAATGATAGAGAGAACAAGAGAAAGACAGGAACCCCAACAAGGTCCCCGTGCCATACCCACCCCAGCCCAGCCAGCCTGGATCGCAGGCACGTGCATGGACTCCCGCACACAGACAGGACCTGATACAAACAGGACCTTTTCCACATGGGCCGGCTGCACCTCCAGCCAACCCCTGCTTCGTAACTTGGGCCGGGTCTTGGCCGAGGCCCAGTTTTATTGCTAGTTCTTTCTCTGTCTCTGCCACCCTAAAAATCTTGAGATTGGAGGGGAATATTGTGGTATCAGAATCTTAAAGGTTTCAGCAAAATGGAGTAAAGATGGGAAAGTAGGACCTGAGTGAGAAGAATGCAGTAGGATTTGGCAATTTTGAAGAAAGTGTCTCTTCAGTGTGAACAGTAAACCAGTAAAGCCTATATATATATATGTGGACAGGAGCTTTGCAACCTCGGAATAAACAATACTTTCTTAAACAGGACACAAAAAAAGTACTGACCATTAAGAGAAAAGGTTGCTAAACCAGACTTAATTAAAATGAACAACTTTGTTCATCCAAAGAGTGAAAATGCATCTATTTGACAAAAGGCTTACATTCAGAATATATAAAGAACTCTTAAAAGCAATAAGGAAAAGAAAGACAATCTGATTTTTTAAAAGTGGGGCAGAAGCCCTGAGCAGACCTCTCTGCAAAGACACCACCTAATGGCAATTAGCATATGGAAAGTTGCTCAGCCTCGTTAGCCAATGGAAACTGCAAATCAAAATAGCAATGAGAGCTATGCATTTACCCGGATGACCACAGGGTAGCAAAACCCACATGCCCAGTGCTGGTGAGAGTGTGGAGAGCTGGGTCTCTCGTGTCACTGGTGAGAAGCCTCGCACAACTGCTTTGGAAACCTGCTTGGCACCAGCTGCTGGACTTGCCTGTGCACACTCCACGGCGTGGCAATTCCAGTCCTAGGTACACGTCCAGGGGGACGAGAGCACACATGTTCCACGAGACTTGCACAAGAATGCACTGGCGTGGTTTCTAAGGGCCCCACCCTGGAGATGCCTCCACCATCCATAGCAACTGGACGGACAGATAAATACTGGCATATGCACGCAGTGGGCTACTAAAGGGGGGGACAATGAACACGTGATAAATACATGCAGCAACACAGGTGCTACGACCGGCCGTCACAGGAAAGACCTGTGGGCCCTGGAGCTGCTTGATTTCTGGGTGGGAGTAGAGACAGGCTGTCACGTCACCATAATCCATGGAACTATACTTGCTAACTTGTGCACTTTTATCTGTGTATACTATTTCACAATACAAGAGCTTAAAGTGGGCCAGCAGATGACGTGTAGGCTGGATCCTACATGGCCAACTCAGCAGTTTGAGTACTGGATCCATTGGCTTGAAAATCACGGTGGGTGCATGTGTGTGCCTGCCCAAAAGGGAGAGAATGGAGAAGAAGGGATTGCAGCATGGCCATCCCCCCTTAGGTGGTGATTTCTCACTTCCTCTCTCTGTCTGTCTCTCCAGTGAGTGCATGTGCCCTGGGGCAAAAATCTAAAAAGAGAAAAAAAAATGTTTCAAGTACTATCAGGTAGAACTTGTCTGACTTTCACAGAAAACAAAACCCTTCAACCAAATACAAACCGCTCTGAAAGCAAAAGAAGGAAAAATTTTGGAAACATCCCAGAGGCTCACCTACCTGGGTCCCTTATGTGCATGGGAAATGGGGCCCCACTACGGGAGGATGCTGAGGCAGAAGCTGCAGCCTTGGGTGGAAGCAGCCTGCAGGCACATTCCCTGCGAGCTGCCCCCTTCCTGCCAGAGACAGGGCTCTGCGTTGGGTACTTGGGCTGCTGGGTGGACTGCAGACTGGCCCTCGGGCCACTGCCACCTGGTCTGGCGGCCTTAGTGCAGTGCGCAAACACCCGCCTTCTCTGGGAGCCCTGCCCAGGAGACGAGAAAGATGACAGGTACATGCATATGGGCCACCAGGCAAGTGGCGCGCCGGGAACACGCCTGACACTGGACTCTACTGCCCGGAGTGGCCAGCGCCATCCCTTACCGCGTAACCTTCTGTCTTCTTCTGGCACCACTTCAGCAAAGCGTTGCGCTTGGAGCCGCCGTATTCCCGGGCCAAGGCTGCCAGAGGGTCTCTTCTCTCCACGCTGGTGGGAAGAAGGAGCACATGGTAAGGGAAGACGCCATCGTTTAGGGCCAGCTCCAGGGTACTACAGCATGCACGCAAGAGAAACCAGATCCTGTGTGGAGACCGCAGTGTGAATGCCCAGCCTGGTTAGCCAGCTATGCCTGTGGGTGCCCAGGATCTGACACGCTGGGGGCCAGAGGACGAGATCTCAGTGCGGTTCAAGTCCCAGATCTGGCGGCCTGCGAAACATACCAGGCCGTGTGCACATGCCCAAAATCCTGAAAGGAGGGAGAGCTGGAGGAGAAGGGGTTGCAGGGTGACCCTCCCCCCATGGGGGTGCTTTCTCTCTCTCTCTTTCTGGAGAGTGCACACGTTCTTTGGCAAATTAAAAAAAAAATCGTGCTTCTTGACTATCATAAGCCTGGGGAGAGTTCTGTTTTGTTTTAAAACCCATCTGTCGCTCATCATCCTGCCTTTCACTTGCTAAGCTGAGTACAGTATCATTTGAGTTAAGAATTACTCGTTTTATTTTATTACTTGCTATAGGGCATGTGCACTTACAAGGGAGAAACCATGATCGGCCATGTGGGAGCCCAGAGCTTTAACCACCACGATACCTGCTGCCCCAGTCTCATTCGAGTTAAAGACACCCATACACAGAAATACTCTGGCCTGGGGACCAGCAGTTGGCATAGTGGCTACGTCGCTGGACTCCCATGTAGTCAACAACGGTTTGAGTCCCAGACCCGGTGGCTTAAGCTCATGCTGGGCATGTGTGCATGCATGCCGACGATCCCGAGAGGACATGGAGGAGAAGAGATTGTGGTGTGGCCATCTCCCCTGGGTGGTGATTTCTCGCTTTCTGTCTCTGTCTCTCTCTGTCTTTCTGGTGAGCGCACACAAAAACCTCTCCAAAAAAACTAAAAAACCCTGGCTGGGCCTGGCCGTGTAGCACCAGCAGGAGGCCACTACTGAGTGATGCTGGAGCCATGTGGGCGGTCTGGATTTGGATCCTGGACCAACCTGAGCTCACTGGGCACGGCAGTGCACCAGTGATCCTGGCTAGCTGGGGCGTGTGTGTGTGCTCAAGATCCTGACAGGAGAATGGAGAAGGATTTCGGCATGACCATCCCCCCTGGGGGGTGATTTCTCGCTTTCTGTCTCTCTTTCTGGCGAGTGCACACGCCCTATGGCAAAAACCTCTCAAAAAAAAAAAAAAAAAAAGTGCAACACCCACTCCAAGATCTGGACCTGCGTGGGAAGGTCCTGAGTGCATGTCCGGGGGCTCCCACACACTCCAGGAGGACGTGCATTCACCCATGGCCCTGACCGGCTGCAGACTGGGGCTACCTGTCCCTCCCTCTTCCTCATTTTCTCATCGAAGAAATAACCTTTAAAAACTTCAAAAAAAAAAAAAAATACAAAGGAGGTGCATCTCTGGAGCATCAGCTGTAGCAGGCAATGATTTAAGGGCAATCCACTCTCCCGCGATAGAGACCATCGGGTACGCACACAAGCATGTTCACGACGGCACATTCTTCATTCCTTTTTCTTTTTTTTTTTTAAGATCTTTGCTATAGAGCATGTGCGCTCGCCATAGAGACAGAGAGACAGAAAGCGAGAAACCACCCCCGGGGGGAATGGCTACACTGCAATCCCTTCTTCTCCATTCTCCTCTTAGGATCCTGGGCACGCACGCACACGCACGCGGCGACATGAGTTTTAAGCCGCCAGGTCTGGGACTTGAACTGTAGTCGACTACATGGGAGTCCAGCAATGTAACCATTACGCCATCTGCTGGTCCTCCCAACAGCACTTTCTGTAACAGTAAAAAATTAAAACAACCCAATGCACTTTGATGAGCAAATGGATAAATAAACTGGTCTATTCATACAACGGAATATTAAATAGCAAGAAAAAACTTGCAGCTGTATGAAGAAATGGGAATATCAAGAACACATTTAGAGTCAGAACAAAAAGAAGATGAAAGGAAACCACACATTTCCATGTAATACAAAATTTTAAATATGCAATTTAAACGACATAAATATATGTGGCAAACAGCAAAGCATGGAACGGCAAACGCTAAATTCAGAATGGTGGTCACGCGGGGGGAGGACGGCAGTGGAGACGGAAAGGGGCCATAGCGAGTGTCAAAGGGAACGGCTCCTCTTCTTAAACCGGGAGGCGGGCATCGACGCGGATGTCCGTTACTGTTATTTTAGATGCTCTGTACCTTCTACATAGTGCTAGGTTTCTGTAGCCATTTACTATACGTGTATATAGTCGTCAGAAAGTAACGGCGCATTTTTGCATAAGAAATACATCATGACTTGCCCAACTACCTAACCTATTTATCTACCTATCTTTTTTTGTTTTTTTTTTAGGTTTTTACCATAGGGTACACTCACCAGAGACAGAGAGAGGGAAAGTGAGAAATCACTCCCCACCCAGCACTCACTTGTCCATGTTCCTCTCAGGACCCTGGGCACGCACACACACGCCCAGAGGAATTTTCGAGCCGCCAGGTTGGTCAAGTGGGAGTTCAGTATTTTAACAACCATGCCACCCACTGGCCCCTGTATCCATCTAATATTTAATAAAAATATTTTAAACTATTTTAAGTAGAGTATAAGATGATTTTTTTTTTAGACCTCAGAAATATGAGCTGAAGTAGAGAGAGTTTAAGAAAAATGGTTCATACTTGAATCTAAATTTTAATGGTCTAACCCGATGACTCCTGGGAAGTCCAGTCTGTGAGTGACTGCGGTCCGAGCTGCCGTTAACACAGCCTGGTGGCTCTGTGTGTGTTTGCCGTGCCTGCTCGGGGACATCCCTTAGCCCTGAATTCCTACACCTGACTGGAAGGTGGAATGGAAGACTGGAATGAAAGTCCGGAAGAGTTTGTGTAAGTGGATGACGAAAGCACTAACCAAACGTCGTTCTGTAAAAAATAAAGGTAACTTAATATTAATGCCCCCACCAAAATTTAATAGTAGTAATAACAGGACACCTTCTAAAGTAATTCCTAGCCTGTCACTGGTTTACGTCAACATGGATGGAAAATTTAAATAAACGGATGTCACCAATCTAACCTTTCATAATGAAGAGTATATATGCACTTTCTGTATGCATTTTTTGGCATTAAAAAGCCCATTTCAGAACAGCACTCATTCTCGTCCTTAAAACTTGCCATGATTATTTAAGTCTCCTGCACATAAAGAAATCATATCTGGGTCTTTACATTAAACCTCTGAAACACATGACTTGATCATCTATTTGGGTCTGAATATGGGTTACACCCCGAGATACAAGACCTGAACTGATTCAGACTTTCATAAACCCTGTATAATACCCACAGAGCTCATTGTAATACTTACTGTTAAAAATCGATTACCCTGGTGTAGTCGATTTGGTGTATTTGTCTACCTACCCATTCATCAAGTATTTACTTAGTGAAATGCGAGGTGTGCAGCACAACATGAAGAGCTAGGAAAGAAACCAAACTGTAAGAGGAAATATTCACTGTCCCCGAAATAGGGATCAGGGCACGTACGACGCAAGGTGAGCACACCGCCAAGCAGTACGAGGACGGAACACCCAACCACGCGGGTGACACTGAAGTCAGAGAGGGGAGGAATGTCAGTGCAGCCAGTGTGGCTAGCTCCCGCTTCATGGGAGGCGAGGCCTCGAAGGAGAAGCAGTATGCAGGAGTGTAAAAGGAGAGAGGAAAAGCAATGCAGGCCAGAACCTCGTAAAGAAAGCCTTGCAGTCAGAAAGGCTCTCATGATATTGTGAAGGCAGGGTGTAGAGCAGGCCCAGACGGAGGGAAGGGGCAGGCTGTTCTGGCAGGTGCATGGCTGGTGCTAATCTGTGCAGCATCTCTAGGACCAGGATGCACAATGGAGTCACGGGAGGGTCCTGAGAGGTTTGCAGCAGGATGTGCTCAGTGCTTCTGAAGGTGAGCCAACATGGACTAATGGGACAGACCCTGGAGAGAGAGGAAGTTGCTGAAATGGGTTTCCTGTGGCCTGGATGACCAGGGACACTGAAACAGGAAGAGGAGCCAGAGGTGTGGGAGCCAGGACAGGCTCCTGGTGACCACCCGCCAGCCTCGCTATCCTCTCCCTTCTCTACTCTAATCTTCACATCCCTGCTAAAGTCCTCTGTAAATACTGATTTCAAAATGCCTCCCTAATCGTGTGCTACTGCTTCCTAATGAATCCTCCTTAAAATGCAGGTCTGACCTCACTGTGCTGCGACTCAAAAACAAGAATGAGATCCCCAAACTCAGTGGCTCCCCAGAGCTTTGTCAAAATAAACACAAACGCATTCCTCAGCATGGAGCGCTAGCTGTGATGTGGCCCAGCCTGCCCATCCAGCTGTCATGCCCTTTGCTCCAAAATACCGACCAAGAGCCCATGGCACCTGCCCCCTTGGTGCCCACGATCTAGCTCAGGGAAACGAACCCCGACCACAATGTTCCCTGAATATTGCTCCATGGCTTGTCACGGTGACAGATCACACCCCTGGGCAGAAGTGCAACTTCTCTGTAGAATTTGTTTATTTACTTATTTATTTCTTCCATGAGAGAAAGAGAGCAGGACAGAGATTGAGAGAGGAGGTGGTGGATTCCCCAACGGGGTCTTCATGCCATGATCCACCCGCAGCCTCAGCTGGCGAGGACCACGAGCCTATGTGTGCGTGCCCAGCGTGTACAGGGAGGCCCCAGAACGAGACGCTAGGATCTTTCCAACGTGCGTCCACGCATGTCAGTGCTGTGCCACCCAGCACCCAGCTTCACTCTGGACTTCTTGACGCGGCTAACCCTGCCAAGTGCTCTGCTTGTCCTGGGTCGTGGGAAAAGCCATGATGTATTTTTTCTGTTTTTCTATGCAAAAATGCCTCATGATTTTCCCAACAACTCAATATTTAAAAAATTTATCTCTCCAGGGGACCAGCAGGTGGCGTGGTGGTGAAGGCACTGGACACTCCCATAAGGCCAACTATAGTTTAAGTCCTGGACCTGGTGGCTTGCTTTCTCACTTTCCCATTCTTTCTCTTTGTGTCTCGCTCTGATCCAATTAAAAAAAAAAAAAAAAGAACGAATAAATAAAATGTAAAAAAATGAATCTCTCCAGACCTTTATTCCATTTTGCGCGGTAGCACTGTCTACTGCCCTCTTGGACTTGTAAAAGGGGGTGCTGTGCCTTCATCGTTCTCGTTCAGGAGGTACTTGCAGAAGTGAATGTGCTGGGGAGTAATGTTACAGAGCGGAGAGAGCGAGCAGGCTGCGTCTGGCTCCCGCTCTCACAGCCACTGCAGTCCATGGAGCTCCAGAGACAGCGCCGGGGCAAGTGAGGGCCGGACGGGCACTGGGCGCCTCTGCCTCGCGGAGGACAGAAAACTAAACGCGGGCAAAGGAGATCCTAAGACGCCGAGAGCAAAATGCCATCATACGCATTCTCCGTGCAAACTCGCCGGAGGAGCACGAGAAGAAGCACCCAGAGGCTCCAGTCAGCTTCTCAGAGTTTTCTAAGAAGTGCTCGGAGAGGGGGAAGACCGTGTCTGCTAAAGAGAAAGGGAAGTTTGAAGATGCGGCAAAGGCAGACAAGGCCTGCTATGAAAGAGAAATGAAAACCTATATCCCTCCTAAAGGGGAAACAAAAGAGAAGTTCAAGGATCCCAACGCACCCAAGAGGCCTCCTTCGGCCTTTTTCTTGTTCTGTTCTGAATATCGCCCCAAAATCAAAGGAGCACATCCTGGCCTGTCCACTGGTGATGCTGCAAAGAAACTGGGAGAGCTGTGGAATGACACTGCCGCTGCTGATAAACGCCCTGTGAACCGAAGGCTGCTACGCTGACGGGAAGTACTCAAAGGATATTGCTGCATGCCGCGCTAAAGCCTGATGCAGCAAAAGGGAGATGTCAAGGCCGAAAAGAGCAAGAAAAAGGAGGAGGAGGAAGACGAGGAAGATGAGGAAGAAGAGGAAGATGAAGAGGATGAAGAAGAAGAGGATGATGAATAAGTTGGTTCTAGCGCAGTTTTACTCCTTGTCTATAAAGCATTTAACCCCCTGTACACAACTCACTCCTTTTAAAGAAAAAATGAAACATAAGGCTGTGTAAGACGTTTTTAACCTATACCATGTCTTTTCGTACAGTTAACACACGACCGAATGTGCCTTTAGCTAGCCCTGTCCTGGTGGGATTTTCAACAGCCGCTACCCTTGCCTGCTGCAGCATGGGGGCTGTAAACTGGCATGGAAATTTAAAGCAGGTTCTTGGTGCACAGCCCAGATTAGTTATATAGGGGATGGTAGTGCTTTCATCTTCAGTTGTCTCTGATGCAGCTTATACGAAATAATTGTTCTGTTAACTGAATACCACTCTGTAATTGCAAAAAAAAAAAAAAGTTGCAGCTGTGTTGTTGACATTCTGAATGCTTCTAAGTAAACACAATTTTTTAAATTAAAAAACAAAAGAAGTAAATGTACTGGCAGGAGAACAGAGAGGCCGTCAGCCTGCTGTCCGCTGACTCCTCACTGCTGGGAACGGGGTACCTGAGTTTGCTCTGCGGCTTCAGTCCCCCGGTGGAAGCGCTCAGTATTCTCGTGTTCCCGAAGCCCAGGGAGGGGGGTCTGCTCAGGGACTCCAGTGAGGGACTCTTCCGGAGGTAGGGGTCTGGCTTCAGGTCCTCAGCCCTTCCCTTCAGAAGATCTGTGGGAACAACAACGTGTCAGCTACTCCCAAAGGAGAGAAGTCGGACCGGTCAGTGCTGCGGCTGGATGCCGTCCCTCCCGAGATTCCATGTATTGAGATTTGGTTGTGAAAGACTAAGAGGGTAAAAACTTAGCCTGTGGTGTGGAAAGTGAGGGTTTTGGGGAGATCAGAATTAGGGTCATTAGGGCAGGGCCGCATGACTGACTCCTGGTGGGTTTCTTTTTTTTTTTGGAGAGGTTTTTGCTATAGGGTGCGTGTGCTCGCAAGACAGAGAGAGAGAGACAGAGAGACAGAAAGCGAAAAATCATCCCCCAGGGGGAATGGCCACGCCGCAATCCCTTCTCCTCCATTCTCCTCTCGGGATCTTGGGCACGCACGCACATGCGCCCAGCATGAGTTTAAGCCACCAGGTCTGAGACTCGAACAGCAGTGGACTAACGTGGGAGTCCAGTGACATAGCCATTACACTAACTGCTGGTCCCTCCTGGTGGGTTTCTAAGGAGAGAGAGCGTGATAGCTGGAGACTGAAGAGCACGGCTGCTCTGCTCCTGCCCTTATCATGTGACACCTGGGATTCTGCAAGACCCATCAGATGTCATCCTGGTCCCTGGACTTCCAAATTGTGAATAAGTCTCTATTTTTTTTTTTTCTTTTAAAGATTTGTGTCATAGGGTGCATGCATTTGCTGGAGAGAGAAAGTGGGAAAGTGAGAAATCATCCCCTGGGAGGATGGCCACATCTCGATCCCTATCCCTCCATTCTCCTCTTGGGATTTTGGGCACAACGGATATATACCCAGTGTGATTTTCAGGCTGCCGGGTCTGGAATTCGAGCCAGTTGGCCACGTGGGATTCGGTGCCTTACCCACATTACGGGCTGGCTCGAGCCTCTATCTTTATAGATCACTCCGTTCCAGGTATTTTCTGTTATTAGTGACAGAACAGACTAAAGTCACCACGCTTTATTTTCAATCAAGTTCTCATTTTATGCTCAAGGACAAACATTCAGGCAGAGTTTCTGGGGTACTGAAGACGTAGGTAAGAACATGGTGTACTCCAACAAGGGTCTCCAGGCAGAGCCCACTACGTGGCTGATGGGGCCTAAAGCCAAGCCAGCACCTTGTTCAAAAATCACTGTGCACTTCACACTGCTGTTACCGAGCGCCAAACCAGCACGGGCCCTCCCACGAGCCTTGTGCAACTGCACAGTTTGCAAGCCTGCCAAGTCAGTCCTGTCCCCAAGTAAGGTATTTTGTTTTAATTGATGGCTAGCTGAGAGAGAGAGAGAGAGAGCTGGCAAGAAAACGGCCAAGGTGACACTCAGGTGATGGCTGCAGCAGACACAAAGCTGGCAGCTAAGGATGGCAACTGTCCCACAGGAGAAAACGCCAGTGGGTCCAGGCCTGGCGCACTGAAATATAAGCAAAATGATTATTATTTTTGCCCGAGGGTGCATGCATTTGCCAGATACACAGAGAGAGGGGTGAGGAGGAGAGGACATGGGATGTCCCCGACTGGGGACGTGGTCATGCTACAATCCCTTCTACACCGTTTCTCACCCTGTCGGGATTTGGGGCATGCACACACATGCTCCTGGCATGTTTTTCAAGCTGCTGGAGCTGGGATTCAAACTGTGGTTGGCCATGTGGGGTCTGGCACCCTAAGAGGCCACAGAGCTTCCCCTCTGCGCAAATAATTTCTTGAAGGTCCCTTTCTGTTGCCATGTTAGTCTGAGTGGAAACAGGTAACAAAATGGGCTGAATCCTTCAGAAGATTTTTTTTTAAGAATTAATGAATTATTAGTAGTTTAATTTGCTATAGAGCATGTGCACTAACCAGAGGGAAACAGAGAAAGAAGGAAAGTGAGAAAGCAAACTGCCAGGTCTGGGACTCGAACCATGGTGAGCCATATGGGAGTTCAGTACCTTAAGCATCATAATACTTGCTGGTCCCCGGAAGGTATTTCTTAAAGGACCATAGCGGTACAGATTGAGAGAAAAATTTGAGACTGTTTCGTTTATAGAGAACACTAGAGCTCAGAGAATGAAGTGACTTGTTCAAAGCTACACAACAGTCCAGTGACCAGGCTGAGCCCAGGGTCACCTCCTACGACCCACAGATCATTATAGAAGAAAACAATATTCCACAGCTAATGGCCACCAATTATGGGTAGGACAGTTGGGAGTGAGGCTAATTAGCTCTAAATAGCAGAGAAAAACAGTGTTTACATCAGGAAAGCAAACAACAAAAACAACACATTAATCTGGTTTCTTCAGGTTCCAATGACCTCAGTGTTGACAAGCAATTGCTGGAAATTGCTGGAAGCGAGTGATTTTCACCGTGTAATCCTTTTTTTATTATAGTAAATAGAATCGTTCAAGTAGTCAGGTGCCTGGGGGTGTAAGCACAGGGGCTGTCAGAGAACTGTTTACTTCGGAGTATCAGCTGTCCTGATCTCATTCGGTTTTTATCTTGTCAGTGGTTTCTCTACCACTCAGGTTTCCTCTGGAAACTTAAAAACCGGGGGAACATGGAAGAAGACACAAAGTTGAGGGGTCTTCAAAACGTTCATGGACAATGAGTATGGTGACAAATTCATGCATGGATTTCATACATTTTTTGCACCAAAATACACTTGGACTTTAATTCCATTTTTCTAAGACCTTTTTGAAGTGCCTTGGTATTGTGATCAAAAGTTCACCCCCTACGCTTTAAAATGGTTATGACAGGGCTGGCCCGTAGTACCGTGTTAAGGAAGCTGGATCTTCCTTGGCCATCTCACAAAGCTAACTGTGGTTCAAGACCTGGCCCTGGCTTGAAGAACACACTGGGTGCATGTGAATGGATGCTACAAATCCTGGCAGGAAGGAGAAGGGGAAGAGAAAGGCTTATGGTGCAACCTCAGGGGTTACTTTCTCCTTCTCTCTCTCTGGGGTGCCTTCTGACAACAACAAATTTTTTTTTATTATTATAAAAAAAAAAGAGGGGCTGGCAGGTGGTGTGGTGGTTGGAGTGTTGGACTCCCACATGGACAACCACAGTTCGAGTCCTGGACCTGGCGACTTGCTTTCTCACTCTACCTCTCCCTCCTCTTCTCTCTCTGGTCAAATAAAATAATAATAATAATAATAATTTTTTTTAAAAAAGAAAAAGAAACGACTAAGATGGTGAACTGCATATTACGTGTCTTTTACTGCAGCTCAAACAGTAAGCACACCCAGGAGTGTGCGTGGCAGAGCTATTCCAGAGACATGGCTGACTCACGCCAGGCAGCTGGCCACTTGTGTCAGCCTCCTGCCCTCCATTTCTACTAAGGTGCCCTCGGTCCTGAGCTTCTGGACCTCAAGCTCTAATCTCTCCACCTACACTTAACCCTGTCTGCTTCTTCTCATCCTCCACACCCTAGGTTACCCGCTGGTCTTTGTTCCTCACCTCCTTCGTCCTTGAGGTCACTGGCTGGTCGTTTTGTTTCTTCATGGTGCGGAGCACGCACACGAGAGAGAAGCGCCCTCAATGGGGCCCCTTGATGCTCCAGGCCCCTCTTCAGCCTCCTGCTCATGGAGCTCTGTGATGCTCACGTGTGCACCCAGTGTGTGCCCATGTGTGTGCCAACCCGAGGACCTGAACCTGTGGTGCCACATGGCTTCCAGCCTTGCAAGGCCCCCCTGGAACTGTGCTGCAGCGGTTGGGCCTGGAAGTCACTAGCGTTTATCCCATCTGAGTGACAGCTGTTACCAAAAGGCAGCATGGTGAAAGACGAGCTACCCTGGTCCCAGACTGTCTGAAACCAGCGTGGCCTTTGGTAAGTCACTTCCTCTCTCTCGGGCTTCAATCTCTCACAGGTATGTAATATTTGGGGAATGACCTGAGATCGCCTTTAAAATCTGTCTACACTCACCAATTCCATGAAAAAAAGCAAGTGAGATTCAGAAGGAATACTTACCTTACAGAAACAACTGTTAAAAACAAGGCTGAGGGACCAGCAGTTAGCGTAATGGCTATGTCGCTGGACTCCCATGAAGTCAACTGCGGTTCAAGTCCTAGACCTGGTGGCTTATACTCATGCCGGGTGCGTGTGCATGTGTGCCCAAGATCCCGAGAGGAGAACGGAGGAGAAAAGATTGCAGCATGGCCACCCCCTCTGGGGGGTGATTTCTCACTCTCTGTCTCTGTCTTTCTGGCGAGCGCATGTGCCCTATAGCGAAAACCTCTCCAAAAAAAAGAAAAAAAAAAAAAAAAAAAAAAAAAAGGACAAGGCTGAGGGGCCAACAGGTGGTTACGGTGCTGGGTTCCCATAAGCCTGAGCACAGGTAGAGTCCCAGACCTGGTGGCTGGAAAATCATGCTGGGTCATTCTTGCGCATGCCCAAAATCCCAAGAAGAGAATGGAGAAGGGATTGTGGCATGGCCATCTCCCCTGGGGAGGTGACTCCTCCCTCTCCCTCTCTGTCTCTCTCCAGCGAGCACATACATGCTATAGCAACAAACAAACAAAAACAAACAAACAAACCAAACTTAAAGAACAAGGCAGACCATGATTTCTAAGAATTTTTTAAAATTTAACTTTATTTATTTATTTACTTACTTACTTACTTATATACTTAATTTAACCAGAGAAGGACAGAGCAAGAGAGAAAAGTAAAGTGAAAAAGCAAGCCATCAGGTTTGGGACTTGAACCGGAGTAGGCCACGTAGAGTGCAAAGTCCTTAATCACCACGCCACTTGCTGGCCCTGGCAGACCATGATTTAAAAGTACAGTTGGACTTCCTTTTCGGTCCTATCATGTTACAGAAATGTTTTCTTTCTCCTTTTTAGTTTGCTATTGAATGCATGTGCTCATTGGAGAGAGAGAGAGGGAGAGGGAAAGTGGGAAAGCAGCCCCCAGTGGGGACAGCCAGGCCACAGCCCCGTCTCCTCCATTCTCCTCTCAGGAAAATCATGCACGCACACGCACCCGGCGTGCTCTTCGAGCCAACAGATCTGGGACTCGAACTGCAC